ACCTGCTTAAAATGGCGAATTTAGTTATGAAACATCAAAATATGGATGTCAATTGAAGGAGTGTTAAGAAATCTTTAGTTTAAACGCTAAGAATATTTTTAAGTTGAAAGAGGGTTGTCACCTGTTTAAAAAGTTAAATTTAAATTATTTAATAAGTTTAACGAGTTATTAATATGTGGGTGTCAGTCGAAGGGGGTTTGAAAAACTTTTATTTCTGAACTGTACTTAGCGGGGTTGCTACATGTTTAAAAATTCAAATTCCACTTAATTCATCAGTTAATTAAAATATATATCGCAATGTCTGGCGAAGAAAAGTTAACAAGGATTAAGCTTGAAAATACTATTGAAGAGGGCTGCCACCTGTTTGAAAGTATATGAAATAAAAAAATACCGTAATCAAATAAAAGAATATTAAGAAATCTTTGGTTTGAGCATTTCGAATGTTTGAAAAGGGTTGCCACGTGTTTAAAAACATACATTCAAATTATTTATTTATTTAGGAGGGTTGCCATTTCTTCGAACAATCAAATTCAAATTAGTTCGTCAGTTTAATGAAATACAAGTGAATCACAATGTCAGACGAAAAAGATTTAAAAAGATTTTAGTTTGGGAATGCTTTTGAAAGGGAATTTCAAAAATGAGAGGTCAAATTAAAGACCTTATCTGTAGATGTGAAGTAAAGTTTTTATTTATTTTTTTAATTAAGAACTTTTTTCATCGTTATAGGGTGATTTGAAATTTGATGAAAATAAAAACATGCACTATGCCAGACTGCTCTTCACTGGCACTCGGATCTTCTTAAAACTCTAACATTTGGAATATTTTTTAAGTTTTTTAAATTAAGTTGTGGGAAATTAAGTCTTTGTGCAACATTAAACAAAGATCAATAAACTATTATAAAAACTTCGGGCTTTTTAATTAGACTCCTAAGAAATATCTTGAGTATGCAGATTTGTAGCACATTCAATTTTAGTAACATAAAGTACACGTTTAAAGTAGCTGGGACTTACCGTTGATTATTGGAAATTTATTTATTTTGTTTTTTTGTTTAAGGTGTTGCTCATTTTCTCCGTATAAAAAAATCGTCGAAGAAAATTACTGACCTCGTCAACAAAACAAAAGTGCAAAAATTAACGTGAAGTCCCAGTTAAAATTGAGTGGACTACAAAACTGCAACCTCAAAATATTTCTAAGGGTACGTTCACACGAAGCGAAGCCGAGCCATGCGAAGCCGTTGCGAACGGCGTGAGGCTTTCAAATTAATATAGCTATTGAAAGTGTTCATACAGCAAGCTTTTCCAGAAGCGTTTTGGAGCTGCAAGCAAAGCAGTTTTTGATTTTGAATTTTCTATTTCATTTTTCAGCTTCATGACTCTGCAGAGTTCTGCTGCAAACGCGATATCAAAGTATTCAAATAACAACAAATTTTTTAATTACTCTTTTGAATAAAATTGAGTGAATATTTTTTCCGCTTTCTATTGACGGTAATTTTTATGGCAGCTTTACAACCGAGTCCATGAGAAAAGCTTCACTCTGCCTCGTTCAGTGTGAACACCTGGAGGTTCGCTTCGGTCTGCCTTTCGTCGCTCGGCACCGCTCGACTTTCTGTGTACACGCACCCTAAGAAATCTAATTAAAAAGTCCGACGAAAGTTTGTTGATTATTATTTTTTAAATGTTGCACAAATATTGAAGCATGTATTTATACGGTTTTTGTTACAGAATAAACTATACTTTCATAAAAAATAATAATTAAAATTAAAAGATCTTGCCAATATGTGAGTGTCGTATAGTTATGATAAGCACTATATTTTCGTTTGACATTTTAAAATCTCGAATGCAATTCCCATTTCAACTTTCCCGCCTGGAAAACACAAACACAGGGCACTTTTTTCTCTCTGATGAACCGCGGTCTCATTGTTAAACTCCATAAATTCAATCGACGAAATAGAGGGTGCAGCGGTGTCCTGCTAGAATCCTTTCATGACAGCACAATTCACGGTTCAACTGTAATGAAACTTAAGATTATCTTGTGACACAGATAACTAGCAATAAAACACACACTTGCTACTACAAAAAACTTACTAGACTTGAACCGTTGTAGATACTTATGAAGCCGCTACTAAACCGTCAATATCAATGGGCAGATGGTCCAAAGTTTTTCAGACAACGATTCTGGCAATCATGTTGTACGCCAGTATAAACATAGAAATGGTTTCTAAATTTCTTATCAGGCAGCAAAGTTGTGGTCAAGGCCTATCCGTTAAGGTGATCGCGGTCTGAGCTAAGCTTAAGCCAGGCTACTCGCCAAGTAGTTTTTGAACCAGCCATAATCAACTGCGTTTAATGTGCAGCGGATTGAACTGCCCGCAGAGACAGAATTCCGACCATGCCTTGAGGACGGTGAGACTTGGGGAAAGCATCCTGTACGGCAGTCCGGCATTGGGCAGACAAAAAAATGCATTTTATCTTCCCTTAAGCCCTTAAGTATTTACATATATGTAGGTAAAACGTGAAATAAGACAATTTTGGCATTCAGTAACTTGGCTTTCAGGGTTAAGGACTTTATAGTCGGAATGCAAAATATCTGTTGCACCCAAATTCTAAACCTATCCTATTTCCAGCAAGAGCTTAATGGCATTTAAGAGCTGGGGTACGTTCTGTAGGACGTACGTACATGTAAATATATAGTAAATACGTTGTAATATACTGCGATATACCATATCAAGTAACTAGACCTTAAGCATCGTGTAACTAGACTAGGGCTGCCATATGCCTGAGCCCATCGACCAGGATACTTATCATCCAAATCAAAAATGAAGATGCAAGTGAATATGGTGCCAATATATTTCCTATAAATACAGTTTCTTTGGTTCTGGCATTGCATTTTTTTGAAGAAATTTCTAATATTATAAGCAATGTGGTTTTGTGGCACAATCCGTAGAGCTGAATTATTGATGATAATGTGGTGTATGAAACGGTCAAGTTTTGTTTTTTTTTTATCGTAAAAGAACAAATTTCTCTTGACTGTGACGTAACCTCGCAAAATGTTTGGCGCCTTTAACGTGGTTTTGAATGCTTGTCTTACCACCATTACCGAATTTCCACATATCCTACAATGCGCTTCATGATCATTTTTGACATTTTGAAGGTAATTTACCTAGGCTATCGTCCTACAAAAACCCTTCTGGAATCTGGAAGATAGAAGCTTAAGATTTTAACCAAAAAAACTAAAAAGAAGACGTAAACTCACCAGATATCGTGCAACATGTTAGAAAAAAGGCGACGTGCAACTATTCGTTCCTAAGCAGTTTTATTTGACTTGAAATTAATGAATGACCAGAAGAAAAATAAAAAGTTATGTTCTCATATCGAACATTTCTAAAAAAATCCGAATATCTATGTCTCTATTATTCGCGTAATACCCAAACCACACATTAATTAATTTTTAATTTTGCATAAATCACAAACTATTTATTTGCGCTTAAATTTTCTTGCTAAACATACAACGATAAGTGCCAAAAATCATCACTGAGTTAAATTGGCTAAACTTGTGTCATATGGGCATTAATCAAACAAACGCTCAACTGTTTGTTAATATTCTTCTACGACGTGCACGGTGGGCTGATGTGTAAAATTTTCGTGCGAAATTCCTTTGATGACGAGGGGCTTATTCTCATTATACTGCAAAGCTACAGCCGCTGAGGCTTTTGATGAATTTCAGTAAAGCATACAAAAGGAGGCGGCTTTACTCTGAAATAATCCTTAAGGAATGGGCAAGGGTAGGGTACTCAGAGGGCGCAGTGAAAATGCTCAACTATCTCGATTGGGTCCAAGTCCTCATCAGAGCCTGTTGAAACCTATTACAGCCGCGAGTTTGTAGGCGTTTATTTTTGTGCATGCAGAAGAGGTACTTATACATTAGACGCCTTTGTAGCCCCACCCCTTTTGTGTAATAAATTTATTTTTGAACCACATCTCGCTAGTTTATTCGCTGTCTGATTACTATTAATCCTACTATGCCTTAGGGTACGTTGGGAGATTTTTTCGAAAATTTTTTAAATTTTTTCGTTAACGTTGAGGTATTTAAATGAATTTAAAAAAAGGATTATTTCCATTTTGAGAACATAATGTAAAAATTTAAAGAAAATTAATTAAAACAACTATAAAAAATTAAAAATTATAGAAATTAAAAGCACTTTAAAAACAAAATTATCTTTTTAAAACAAAAAAAAAATTTAAAGATTTAATTAAGAAAGTAAACAACAAAGTTCCCAAACATTAAATGAAATAAAAAAAAAGTAAAATCTACAATAAAATCTAAAAATTTTAAGGAACTTGAGTTCAAAAAAAAAAACAAAATAAAAAAAAATAAAAATAAAAATATAAGTTTCTTGAAAACTAAATGAAATTAAAAAAAAACTCTTTAACAACCAGTTTCGCAGCAATTTAAATGGAAAATGATTTTTTTTTATTTCTGTCAATTTCCATATAAAATTCAAAAAATTAAAATCATTTTTCACTTAAATTGCTTTCGTGAAATTGGCTGTAAAGCAATAAAAATTAAATTAAAAAATAAATAAAAATAAAATAACTTTTTTTTTGTAATTAAATAGAGAAATTTAATGAAAATTAAATTTAAAAGAATAAATTAAAAAAAGTTAATAAAAAATCCGCTGCCAGAGGACTTGAACTTCGTATACTTCGAATGTCACGGCAGTGCCTTGCTCACTCGGCCATTGCGACTGTTGGAGGGCGAACGTTTTTTTTTTTTTGAACACTTTCGTGCAAGAATAAACCACAGTTTTCAAACTATCTTGCCTACTGCCTTTCAATTTCTTACAAAAGACCCAATTATCTTAGCCAGAATTGCCCTATTAGCGGTCCACAGCTGAAAATTGCGTACAAAGAAGTTGCAGTGTGTAAATGAAACGAGCAACAAAAAATATCACAGGTTTATAAAAATACTTTAGCCATGACTTTAACTGCAAATTTTCTATGCATACATATGCATGTACTTACAATCGATCAAAATATATACATACATACACAAATAAGTAAGGAATATGCTCGAAATATATGTATTGCATTAACAGCGTTCATTTCAAATCTCTGGAATGTCTTCCCACGAGAAACCTTCGCGTTTCATTAAGATTGACGTCAGAATATAACTGTAATAGCCACCTGGGATCAACAATAGGGAGCCAAGAATAAGTAATGGAGACGCACGGTCAACGTGGGTTTGGTCTAGAATCTCCAGAAAAAGGAGTCCAGCTGTTGTCATGCAAATCTATATAAAAATTAAGAAACCATACATTTATTAGTCGACATACATTTATTAGTGGAAACCTTTAGCAGAATACCCTCGGACTAGTTTATGTACAAAATTCTTGCACAGAACATCCGTCGCCTTAACCATATCAGCTACTAAATCCGGAGCTAATTTGCTAAAGCCAACCCATTAATTAAACGCCAGCTTACCATTCCCATAATTAGGAAAAATATTACAAAATATATAGTCTTCCACGGCAGTTTTGGTTCGTCCTGAAACAGAAACTGTTCTTGGGAATCGTAGCCATAGCTATCAACGTCATCTCTCCCACCATCACTATCCGAATCTTGAATGCTTCCATAAGATCCTCTCCGCCGACGGGGTGCAGGCATTTCCACAAATTATTTGATTTTGTATTACGAGAAAATAAAATAAACGATATTTTTTAATTTCCTTCAGTTTTGTAAACAATACCATGGCGCGCCTTGTGATGGGGCGATACGAATACCGAGTACAGAATATCGATACTCTCCATGAATACTGAGTAGTATCGGGAACTCGATTCTCTTTGACATGTACTGAGTAAGTATCGCGAATATGTACCGAAAAGTATCGAGTCTTACAATATTCGATTACTACAAAAAATTTTTAAAAATTACTTACAACAAGTATTTGTCTTTTCGAATAAAATAAATGTTAAAAATGTACTAATGTGCTATCAAACTCACTTACAAAAAAGTAAATTCGTTATCCTGTTCTTAGTATCACTCTAAAAAGTGCATGTAAAACTACTACTGAAAAGTGTTTATTTTTCAACCAGAATGTGTTCAAGTATACGCACAAGATGTTCAAGATTTGATTTTGAACATGAGTTGTTTAAAATATACACATAAATATAAACATGAAAAGTTTAAAATTACAAACATTTTGAAAGTAAAAATATATTTTTTACAAATAATAAATACTAAGTACCAGGGGCGCACGCAGGAATAAATTTTTGGGGGAAGGATTTATACTTCTAAATATATATCATCAGAAAATACTGAAAATTCGCTCTTTAAAATACATTTATGCAAGTTTTATGTACAGAATGAAATAAAAAAATAAACTTTTTAAAGTTTCATAAATTGCATTTTATTTACATAAAATTTACAAAGAA